CCCCAAAACCCCAAAACCCCAAAACCCCTTTTTGAGAGCTAAGGATTGAAGGATTTGGGGTATTTAGTAGGCAAAAAAGTGATACAATTATACGGAGACATTCAACAACAGTACTTCTCAATTAGCTTAAACACTTCCCAACCTCTACCTCATCTACATCATAACCAAAACTCAAAATCCAAAAAATCGATTTCCAAAATTCCATAAAATACCCACCCCTAAAGGCTGTTTTTCAACCTTCGCGCCCACTCTCACCCAAATTCCCCACCCAAAGCCTTTGTCACAAGCCACTTGCACAACTCCTTACCACTTCTACAAGCCCAAACAGCTCCTCGCCCTCCAGCCCAAGGCTGCACTGGCCGAGAAGAAGAGGCTCTCGCTCTTGCTTAAGAGCCATTTCAGGGCCAAGCGGGTTTTGGCGTGCCAACGGTATGGGGTCCGGTGTTAAAAGTTTTGAAACTGGGATATTGTTATTGAACTAATGTTTTAAGCTGCTTAATTACATTTAGCTCAGAGAATGATTAACTCCTTTATCACCAAGACCGTATTTCTCAAAGGTCGAATTAAAATAGCCTCTTGCTAAATAATCCAAAATATATATTTCTGTGAGAGACTCTTTTAGGTCACAAGAAGAAATTCCATTTATTAAATTGTCTATTGTTTCTGAATATTTGCTCAATTCATAATTTTCATCTCAACTTCAAAAACCAATCTTCTTAATTAGTGTTCCTTTCATTCATGTCTTCAAGTCAGACACTCTTGGAATAGCAAATTTGCAACTACGAAAGCTTACTTGCTCTTGGTGTCTACACCCCATGAGGAACTTTTTAAACTGGATTTCATTTAAGTTAAACCCTCAAAGGCAGATTTCTTTCTGAACATGAGCGCATGTCTTAATAATTTGTTGCAAATAAAGACCAATCTCCGTTGGTTCCAAGACTTCGAGTGTCAGAGTCTTCATACCACCACAAGGCGAGAAATGGGCAACAGATTCATGGAATAACTTTAAGGATTTAGGGTTAGTCTTGACAGTGACATCAATGAACCAGGGCAGAGCAACTTTTCGCAACTTTTTAGCTGTGATAGATCCTTTATAATTTCTATGATTAACTCTGAAATTTTCTCCTGGCTTATGAAAAAAATTAGAAAATAACCCAAAATTACTATCACAGATATTTTCATATGAATCTTGATAAATTTTCTGGTTGAGGCCATCGCAGCTCAACCTGTAAAGAGTCTCGAAAGTGAGAACTAAGTTTAAACTGACAGCTTCTTGGCTTCGTTCAAGAGCTGTGCAAAGAATATCTTGGGGAGCTTTAGCTGCTATATTGGATTCTTTTGTTTGGAGTTTGGGGAATTTATGAGACAGACTGAATAAATTTTGTGCTTTTATTCAACAAAATTATGCGAAAGATTCTTTTTTGATATAGTAGAAGGCCACTTTAATAAATATTTTCATTTTTGAAAAAGTGAAATCTCAAATATAAACAATGTTTTTCTTAAATCAGTCAGGCTCTAACTTAGGCTGATCAGAATAAATGTTGGATATTATGTGAAGCATAAGCAAATGAGAAACCGCAAAAGAATTCAGAATACATCATATTGTTGTCAAAATTTGTACTAAGCCAAAATATTAAGAACTCTAAAATTGTGTTGGTTAGGTGTTTTAGGATCTTACCTAGTTGACCTCCTTGCTTCCCATCCATTTCCTTATGATCCTCTTTTGGAATAATCTTCTTTGTTTGCTGATTCTCAGTAACTTTGTTTATAAAGATTAGTTCCTGTTTTAGTCCATAGATTTGTGAGTGGAGATGTCTGAATGCACCCACAACTGACATATGTTCGTTATATTCTTTATCAGATTCTTCATCATATTCTTTAAATTCTTCTTCGAATGTTTTTAATTTTTCAAATTCTTTGTCATTCTGTATCCAAAATCAATTTATTTTGAATGAAGAACCAATTTCTGAAATTACCCTAGAGATTTGGTGCAGACTGAGAGGATGGGAGTCAGAACGGCATGACTGGTACTCCTCAAGAATGATCTTACACCTTCTCACAATATCATATAACTCCTGTAATGTTTTCTTCCTCTGGTAATTCTGCGGGTCATTCCGCTTCTCATGACTGGGACATCTTAATCTAGGTAATTTTTTATTTTGTACATCCTTATTTTGACTAAATTTGTTCTTGAGGAGACTCTTTGGGCGTGGAGGTATCTCCAACTCTACTTCTTCTGACTTTTGAGTGCAATTTCAGCTTCCCATGTTTAATTAAATTATTTAGTTTCTTTATGAATCGCCTCTTATGGGGTTTTGGGGTTTTGGGGTTTTGGGGTTTTGGGG